AGTGCCCCCCTGCCGCGAGGCCGAGAGCCCCGGGGTCCCTAACGCCGCCTGCGCCCAGGCAGAGGACGCCGCGGGGCACCGGCGCGCCGAGGATCCCCGGGCACCCCCGGAGCTGGGCGCTGGGGAGGTCCAGACGGCCGAGGATGCTTCCAGGACAGGTGACGTTCCGATAAAGACTGTCCCCCTTGTCGACTCCGACTGTGGCAGCGGCCGGGCGTCTGCCGTCCCTGACCCTTCCTCTGTTGATCCACCCTCAGACCCATCGACCGATCGTATTTGTTTGATGTTTTCTGACGTGACTTCACTGAAAAGCTTTGACTCTCTTACAGGCTGTGGAGATATTATTGCAGACCAAGAGGACGAGGCAGGGCCCAGCTGTGACAAGCATGCCCCGGGGCCAGGCAAGCCCGTTGTCCCTAAAAAGAACCCCGGCGTGGTGGCCTACCAAGGAGGAGGGGAGGAGATGGCGAGCCCCGACGGGGTGGACGACACCTATCTCCAGGAGTTCTGGGACATGCTCTCCCAGACCGAGGACCAAGGACAAGGGCCCCAAGAGGGCCTGGCTAAGGCCGCGGCAGCCCTGGACGCCAAGGTGGCCCCCGAGACCTCCAAAGACGCCAGGTGTGTAGACGCGGCCAAGGACGCGTCCTCGGTCAAGCGCAGGAGGCTCAACCGGATTCCCATTGAGTCCCATCCCAAGGAGGAGCCTAAGCACCTGCAGAAGGAGCAGCAGGAAGGCGTCCCCAACAGTGACGAAGGCTACTGGGATTCCACCACGCCGGGCCCCGAGGACGACGGCACGGGCGGCGGGAAAAAGGCGGGCATCCCCCGCGACAGCGACAGCGGCGACGCGCTCTACGACCTCTACGCGGACCCCGACGCCAGCCCCGCAGCCCTTCCCGCCAACGAGGAGGCGTCCTGCGTGTCCAGGCTGAAGCCCGTGTCTCCCGTCACCATCACCTGCCCGCTGCGAACGCCGGGCAGTTTGCTGAAGGACTCTAAAATCCCCATCAGCGTCAAGCACCTCGCGAACCTCCCATCCAGCCACCCTGTGGTTCACCAGCCACCCGCCAGAAGCGAGGTGCCCAGAACAAAAATCCCGGTGTCCAAAGTGCTCGTCCGCAGGGTCAGCAGCCGAGGCCTGGCTGGGACCACCATCCGGGCCGCGGCGTGCCACGACAGTGCCAAAAAGTTGTGAGGTGCCCGAGACCGAGGTGGATGGACCACATGCCAAGGAATACAACTTTCCCCGGAAACCACTAAAATAAGTTTTGCTTCCCCTAAAGAAAGGCTTTTAGGACCGTCCCTGCCGCAGAGCCTGGGCCGAGGAGGCCTTTGTGGCCGGCTGGGGCGGGAGATGCTGGAGAGGGGATGCCACACTGCACATGAGATTCTCCTCCCAAGATAAGTCCCTGGGAATTATTTTCGAGCACTTTTTTCTTTTTTTTACCTTTTTAAAGTATTTTTTTCTGTCTTTTTTCTTTAATGCACCAAATACTTGGAAGTCACCTTTACTTGCCTTTGCAGAAACCAGGACTAACCAAACCGAAGTAAGTGTCAGGCCATGATGTTTGGCCATGTCAGGGTCCAGAGGCCTGGAGGAACCACTGCAAGAACCAGAGGAGTCCTCCTCTTCCATAACCCCTCTTC